TAAAAATGTTTTTATCATAAAATAACAATGCAGTAAGTTCAGTGGTAATTTTATAAAATATTTGGTTGGACCCATCATATTTGGCTGACTCATTCAGCTGATTTTATATTTTATTTTTATTTCTCTATAAAAGAGTTTAAAAAGATTTTGTCAACCCTTTTTTTTACTCTCACGTTCACTATTTCTCTCTCTCTCTCACACACACACACACACACACACACACACTCACATATATATATATATATATATATATATATATATATATATATATATATATAGAGAGAGAGAGAGAGAGAGTACCAACAGTTGTTCCTGTAAACATGTCTCCTGTCTATTAAATTTATATTATCATTTTTTCTTATATACAAATAACTTTACACAGTTGTAGCTATTGTAGATGTAATAAAAAACTGATAAAATTTGTATTAAGTTGAAGATTTTGAATCACGTATGTCATCATATTAAAAAATTTGTGCTATATTTTGCATCTAAAACAGACATAATTTTTATTCTTATAGTAAAAAAAAAAATGATCTATAAATATAATAGACATAAAATGTCTCTCCTTTTTAATAAGATGCAAACACTCATTCTCTCTCTCTCTCTATATATATATATATATACACACACACACACACTGTTTAAATTAATTGAGTAAAGGTAAGTATTGTAAATTTTTATAAGTGAATGCTGAGGCTAACACTGAGTGACAACATCCTGTTTCATTGTTAAACTCAATCTTCCAGTCATATGTATTGTGAGGTAGCTCATCTGCTTATATATACTGGTCAATGGTGCATTATTGGGAGCAAGGTCAGATATTCCTGGTTTATTGGGGAGACTGCAATGGTTATATTGCAAATTTAATAATAGGAATAATTGTGTGCCAAAATGCAATTATTTGTAGCTATTGTATAGTGTTGTTTGTTAACTTTTTTACTCATTATTATTGATTACTTTGTATATTTTGTATTTATTTATTAATTATTTACTATTGATTATTATTATTATCATTATTACATTTATTTAGTTGTGTTTATGTGTTTAATATTTTGTTTATTTACTTAATTTGTTGATATATTTATTTTTAGAGTGGAGGATTATTATTTGTTTAGTTTAAAGTATTGACTTTGTCTAAAGCATGTTGCGTTATCTGTGTTGTATATATATATGCGTTATATATATATATTTTCATTTTTTGGTGATGTTTTAAAAGTCATTTGTTTCTAGTTTTTGATGCTTAAGTAGCAGTAAAAGTTTGTTTTTGTGTCTGCATTATTAAATAAGTTCTGATGGTTAAGAAATATATATGTTTGTGTGTACATAAACATGTATGCACACATATAGTAAGGTAAAAATCCATTGGGATATAACAAAAGTGGATCCTAGTAATATGAAAATATTAGAACTGATCCACAAAAAAGAGCTTGATGTATTTTATTTAATTTATACAGAGCAATGCAGTTAATAATCAACCAAATCCTTTTACCTCATATGGGGAATAGGCTGTTTTGGCAGACAATGAAAGTGGTCATTTGTCTTTTCAACCTTGGTGTTGAATGAAATGAGGTTCATGTCTGTAAGTTAAGGCAAGTTATGGTTTAAGTTACGGCTTTAGTTTCCAATCTCAATTCCTCACAGTTAACTGCTGCAGCCCCACTTCCAAACTTTACAGGCATGAACTTCATTTCATTCCAGACCAGGGTGGAAAAGACAAACGGCCACTTTCGTCGTCTGTCAAAATAGCCTATTCCCCATATGGGGTAAAAAGATTTGGTTGATTATTAATTGGGTGGTTCAAAAGTATTGTCACCCATACCAAAAATTAATGAGAACAATAGAACATGTAATACAAAGCATATGTACTGGATTCAGTTCATTCACTTTCCTTGATGGTGTCACACATCAAGAAGGTCTGTATGAACACCATCAGTTTTGTGGTAGCCATCTGAAATAGAAATTTGTATTAGGCATACATGACAAGATTTTCGAACCACCCTGTATTGTGTGTGGAATATAAAAATTGTGTTGATTATATTTAAATCTTTTATTGAATTACGACATTATGTTCCAATATATAAGAATTGAAAGTATAAAAGGGCTGTCCACAGTTCGTGTCAGTTCTTTAATATTTCAGGCTTTCAATGGACTTCAGTCTTTGTCAAGAATCAAAATCCATTTTGTTAGAATCCTTTGAGGATTTTAATTCTTGACAATGACTGATGTCAGTTGGAAGCTTGAAATAGGCGACATGAACTGCGGACATTTCGGTCATTCTTTCAGTTTTAATATATGGAAATTAATCTGTCAAGTAGAGCAAAATATTTTAAAATATAATGGTTATGATTTTGTCTATTCTATTTAACAAAGCATTATACAAGGTACAGCAGAAATAGCTCCCACATAATGGTAACACATTAGTGGCAATGATGTCTTCATCTCACTAATGTCTTAACATGATATGGGAGGTATTTTTTACCACTTCTTCATATATAAAAGTGAACATAGAAGTCAGCACTTAGTGGCAGCAGTCTGTTTCATGCTAGATGCAATATATATATATATATATATATATATATATATATATATATAAAAGTGAACATAGAAGTCAACACTTACAGGCAACAGTCTGTTTCATGCTAGATGCAATCGTCAGGCCACTCGTGGCCTGACGATTGCATCTAGCATGAAACAGACTGTCACCTAAGTGTTGATTTCTATGTTCACTTTTATATTTACACATGCTCTATCTCTGATATTGAGCACTCTATCCCATAAATATAGCACATCTTAAGACTATATTTCTTTATATATATATATATATATATATAAACATGAAATGGACAAATTCCAACAGTTATTTTAATATTTTATTGACTACATTTTATGAAATGGAATCAATATATTCAAACCAACAGATATACAAGGATAGAAAAATAAGAAATAGGAAAATTTTAAAAATAAATAAAACAATACAAGATCAAACAATAGCAAAAATGAACTGACCTTGAAAAATTTTCTTAGGGGGCTTACAAGAGAGAACAATTTATTTGTATATATATATATATATATATATATATTAATGTGTGTGTGTGTGTGTGTGTGTGTGTGTGTATAAAGGTAAAATACAATATGTATTATTAGCTGATGTATTTCGTCCAATGTGGGCTTTTCAAGGCAAAAATGAAATGAATTTATTGAAAACAATGTAACTATTAACAACAAACAAAATGTCCTTAGCTTGTTTGTTGTTAAGAGTTACTTTGTTTTCAATAAATTCATTTCGTTTTTGCCTTGAAAACGTCCACATTGGACGAAACGCTTTGGCTAATAATACAGTTTTCCTATTGTCTTTTACCTTTATACATATTGTCTGAGAAATTTTTCATATATATATATATATATATAAACTAGGAGTGTAGTAAAAATTGAATGAATTGATATTATATGGATTTTATCAGTCTCAGTTTAAAATAATATTCTGCTGAAAAATCCATATTGGTTTTGTGTATTTGTCTCTCTGCATTTACACACTCATATTCGATGGTAGTATTTGTAAATTTTCAAGTCTTTTGAGGTTATAGGCTTCACCTCTACTCTATAATATACTTACTTGATACTGCATAAGTTTGTTTTTCCTTTAATACACAAATCTGCTAGACATATCTGGATTTGAATAGATTCTTTAGTTCTTAGTTGTGAATCAATAAAATATTGAGGAAAGAAAATCACAAACTACTTTTGTGTATGTAATGATTGGGGAAAACTGACTGCAAGTTAGAAAAATCATTTATGATTCTGATTATGCAATGCAACAGATTTCAAATACTACAGATAAAATTAGGCGGTCTTTCTATTCATGTTCTTAAAATAATAGAGATAATGAAATCCTAAATCCAGCACGATTAATTTCTACATATATATGTCTATATCCAATACATTTCTACATATATATGTCTATATCCAATACATTTCTACATATATATGTCTATATCCAATACATTTCTACATATATATGTCTATATCCAATACATTTCTACATATATATATGTCTATATCCAATACATTTCTACATATATATGTCTATATCCAATACATTTCTACATATATATGTCTATATCCAATACATTTCTACATATATATGTCTATATCCAATACATAAAATGGATTCTTTGATTATTTCATGTTTGCTACTATAATGTCTTAAAAGCCACCTTTGGCAGCAAGTAAGTTCAGTGTCACATCACTTCCTATTTATATTATAATTACCTGTGAATAAGAAAATAACTAAAGGAGAACTACTCTCTAGTTAACCAAACTCCAACTACATTCAAAATTTAGAGTTAGCTTCACTTGAACTCCTGCTAATCCCTAATGTACAGGAGTCTTGTGTTAAATAATCTTTGAATATATGTGCTTACTATTTTTAAATAATTTTAATAATAAAATTTGAAATTGTTCATGGTAGATGCAAAAGGACAAAGAAATTATATGAATAATAATTTTTCTATAAATTTATATATATATATATATATATATATATATATATATATATATATACACGAAATAATGTTTATTTTATAAAATATTTTATTTCAATATGAAAATACACAATAAAAATATATTTTTACAAAATAAAGGTTATCATTATTTCTTTGAACTATTAGTAATCTTTTGGCATTGATATAATTTTTGTTGCAGTTTGTCTAACAAAGAAACATACAAAGATTGGAACATTATTAGGGAGGTGAGCATGAATGCAAATCTCACATTATTGAGTTGTTAAATGAACTGAAAATTACCTCCTTCTTCAAGTTAGATCACTTTAACAGAACTGCCCTAGCAAAAGTCTTGCTACAACTGGCTATTTTTTGCTGTGTTATCCTAACAAACATAGCTACAATAATCAATCAGATCATTACAGTATTGACTAATTACATTTCATTTAGCTAGTTATATAATCAAGAATTTAATTTTTTCTATTTGTTTTTTGTGCTTATGGCCACAATACATTGGAATACTGGTTCACATATGATCACTGAAGTTAAGCATTGTGGAGCCTGATCATTATCTAGATGGGTTACCGTTTGGGAATACCAGGTGTTGTAAGATTGGATGTGCAGGTAGTGCAATGGATAATAGTTTGGAATTATTAATTGGAGAGCTGAATTTCAATTCCAGTTAGGTCTATTGCATTAAAGCACAAATACTCTTGGGAAAGTTATGAACCTCCCCTCTTCCCCCTCCTGTTATGAGTGAGTTAGTAAGACTTTCACCACTAAAACCATTCTTATCTCAAAAAAAATATTTAAAATAAATAAATAAAATTGCATACAAAAGGTTTAGTTTAAATAGCCCATAGAGGTTGCTAAACAAAATCAACCAACTATTTTTTCAAATGTGAGCAAGTTTAACCCTCACATTATATTAAAATTGTTTTCTCCTATTTAAGTGTGTGCAAAAGTTCACAATTCTCATTTTCTTGGAAAACTAAAACTTGAATACACATTGCTTACAGAAATAGTATATGAATGTTTACACTAAAATGTTCAAAAGATTTTTTTATAATAAACTGTATTTTGAATGTTTTTCTTAGTATAAAGTGTAGTTTATTTATATTATTCATATTTGAACTATTGTTGTCATCTTTGTTATCACAATGTTTCAGCCATTGTGCCCTCTGGTCTTCATCAGGTACTTGTTGATCTGAGTAACCTTCAGGAGATTTTGATCTGAACCCTTTATTTAATTTACTAGTGTAGACTTCTCTCATTCTGTTGACCATGTTTAGGAATATCTTGTTTAGTCTTTATTTAGTACTGCTCAGTTATTGCTTACCCTGTTTGCACTAACCAGCACAGGGATTGAACTAAAAATGTAGTTTAAATGATTTTTCTCTAAAAAATATTAAGTAGATAATTGCATGAGATTTATACAATTAAAATTTAATTTTAGATGAGGACATGTTTTTGTGTTAACTAGAATATAATAAAATTAAAACAACACGTGATATTACATTAATCTTAATATACAAATATCTTAGTATCTTACTGTGCGAGTATCCTAATATACTAACTAAAGAGAATGTGTTTTGTTCAGTTTACTTTTTATATATTTATATATGATATTGATAAGGCATTGAAAATTTCTCTGCTAGACCCACTTCCCAAATTAAGAATTAGTTTACCCTCACATAGTTTTATCTTTTTTCGTTTATGTAATTTTTAAAATCTTCTTTGTTATTTTTAATAAGGTTACTAAAAGTGTGTAAATACCTTTTGTACTGTTCGTATTTTCAGATTGAGTCCCACTCCCAAAAGTAAATATTTGAGACAAGATAACATTAAATTGGACACCCACTACAAAATGACCACCTGAGAAATAATTTTTGACATAAAGAGACAAATCATTTAAAGATACATTTGATTTTCAAACAACCTTGTTTCTGGAAATGTCCCTGATTATCCATTCTGCTGGACAGAGGTTACATAGAAATAATTCAATAATACACCTCTGAAGCATTAATTATGTACATCTCATATATTTAAAGCATTAGGGCTGTTAGAAAATTAACTTAAACAAAATATTAAATTATTGGATAAATATTTAAACAGCCTTGCCAGAATTTAACACCTCTGACATGAAAAGTGAATAATACTTGGCCATCTTTGAATGAAGTATTCCTTTGTTTGGGATTGGAATAAAAGAATGTACAATTTGGTGGTAAGTATAATGTATACACGTTATTCTTACACAGATCAAGGATTGACTGAGCAGTTGTCTAGAATAAGAAAAAAATTAATCATCTATGTGTTTAGTTGTAATTTTTTTCTTTGATTAAAATAGGTGCCAAAAAAATTGGAGATCTACCTGTACCATATGAAACCTGTAGGTATTACTGAGGACCATCCTTTTTCATGGACTGGCACTACAGAAGTACATACAAGGCACTGCACTAAATAACAGAAACCAAATTAATTGAGGACTTTCAACAGCAGCAACAACCAAAGAGGATATCACATGTAAATCAGAGAGAAAGTAATGCCATAATCAAGATGAACTCTGTTAATGCAGCATTGGGGTTCCTACTGAGGAGTTGCCAATAGACCACTAAGATCTAGAGATAACATGCAGCTAACATTTATACAGTAGATAATGAACTTTTCTCTTTGACTTGATGTCAAGCAGGTACAGAAGTTTATTTTGGGTGCATGAGAATGCTCAGAATATTTTCCATTTATAAAATGATGTTAATCCCTTCTTTACTTTAGACTATTTCCAATTAGCAATATTTTTATATGCATAATTTTAGTGTGGTGTTCTGTATACTATTATTATTATTATTTTTCTTTTATCTCCCCATGTTGGCAGTATTGTGACAAATGGTCAGTTTTATGAAATATGATTTCCTTTGTATTTTTTTCAGCCCAGCAGTAGTCTCATATCATATTCTGCCACTCTCCTTACTGTTTGGGCACTTATATAATTTCTGTTGCTCAGCTATTCTAATTAACAAGTCATTTATATACTTGGTTTAACATTGGATGCTCATCTATATAATAAATATGAGTGTCAGTGTGTCACACTTTTTCAACTTTACTCCTAGAGGTTGTAGCCCAACATATGCCATTTTGAAATCAGGCTGACTCTGTGAGCAAATTAAAAACATTCTGTGCTGGATCCAGACCTGCAATCCTGAAATTTTGGATTCACAAGTTTTCATTCCTGTGACTTTTTTTATGTAATAAATACTTTTTTTTGTAATAAATATTTTTGTACGATAACAATTTTTATAACTTGGAAATAAATTTAGGAATAAGCAAAACTAATTGTGAAATCCAGCATAAGTCACACTTGAAATAAAAATAATTGTTTGTACTGAAAATAAGGACCTTCTTACATCAGGTTGTCTTTAAATTAAGTGGCTGCAGAGGAATTATCACTGCACTCTTAAAAGGTAAGCTTAAATATTAATGCCATACTTAAATGTAGCAATCAATTTTAAGTTCTTCTGTGGTTTATTGTTGCCTATTGCATCTAATCTTCTCTACCTATTGTGATGAAGGCCAAATCAAGGACCCTTGAAAGGAGCGGGCTTAAATACTACCCAACAGGGTGGTTTTAAAGCTAATATAAGTATATAAGGGCCAAGGAGAAAAATTGCCTAGACCCTGTAACCATTATCACGCTGGTATTAGTATTAACCAGTACTCCCCACTTAGCCCAATGCAAGTGATGGTTGGAATTCCAGCGACTAGGCTCCCTTCATTGTTTTGAGAGGAGATCAACACTATTTTTTCTCTTCTTCATATAAAGCAGCCATCTTCTGTAGCAGTAAGTCTAGCTAATCAGTCATCACATGTAAATTAACTGCCAATGTCACCTACCTAGACAAACTCTAGTCAGGCTATTATTAAGAGGGACACTTCACACCCAACATTCACAGATAGACTGATAGGAACATATATCAACAATAGGAATGCTTTGTTTTCAAATTGCAGGGTGGAAACTGTGCAGTGTTTATATTTACTGTTATGGAGTCTTTGAGTAGACAACATTAAAGATGTCCTATTCATACCTTATAATTCACTCAGATAACCAAGACAAACATTTAAGTGTTCAAAAAAGGATATTGAACTTTGGTCAGATATTTCTTTTATTACTCCAGTTTATTTATGTTGGAATAATTGGTCTATTTAGTTTTTAGAAAAAAGTAGAAACCAATTCTTATTAGATCTTTTTTTTTAATCATTTCACTGTAAGCAAGATTATAATGCTACTAAGATGTAAGGGCTTACTGGGAGTGAAAGAGAACAAGAAAGTTTTAGTCAGGAGAAAAAGCAGTAAAAGAATATATTTCAGGAAAACAGAAGATCACAACTGGCACTGCATTTCAATGCTTTTAAATGTAGCAATCAATTTTGAGTTCTTCTGTGGGTTATTGTTGCCTATCACATCTAATTTTCTCTACCTATTGTAGATTTAAAACCACCATATTACAATCAATGGATTTTCAATGGATTTCTGCTGTAAAAAATTTGCAATGAGTTTCTATAATAAAGATCATTAGCAATACATTTACTCTGTTCTGGCTATAACTCCCCATAATACTTCCCACATAATGGTAAGACCTTAATAGCAATAGTGTCTTCATATTTTTTTTTTTTTTAAGTGTTTCACCCCAAGCAAGGTGAAAAGCCATTAGGACACAAGGGGTTACAGAAGATTTGGAGCAAGATCAGATAGGAGTGACAGAGGAAAAGATGAGAAGAAGGATAGTGGATAGATCAAGGCAACTGGAGATATCGATTGACATTACATTTGAATAGTTGGAGATTATAGCTCTCAGGGAAACTGGAATAGGGAAGGGAGTTCCACAGGCGAGAGGTGCAAGACATGAAGCTATTAGAGTAGAAGAGACGGCTACATTTAGTAGTTTCGACTGTCTTAACATTATTTGGGAGTTATTTCTCCTGCACTCTGTATTAGTTAAGAATTCATCTTGCTGTTGCAACTTATCACCCAATAACTTACCCTTTCTTTCTATTTTGTTTGCTTCACTCCCTTATTGTCTGGTGTTCAATAAAAAGAAATAATATTTCATCACAGGTTTTCTATTTTCCACTTAATCAATGGTAATGTTCAGTCTGGTGTTACTAACAATTAAACCTTGAGTTGTGACAGCAGAGCACATGGTAAGTTCATGGTGTGCACCATAAAAACAGCTCTGAGGAAGAAAAACCATAAATGACAATTGCTTGTTTTTCCTAAATGGAGCCAATAATGAACTAAAAATTGTTTGTTGCTGTTATGAGAAAAGGATATTGAAATAATGAGAAAACACAATTGTAGACTCAAAGACTGGAAAATGGCAGAAAGAACAAAAGATATGAATAACAATAAAATAGAACAAATTTCTTTTGTTTTTTACCATTTTTGTAAAGCTTTGGTTTACTCAATTCTTGTCTATAAAAACAATTGACTGTGCTTTCATAATACTTGCATGGACTATATCTATCTATCTATCTATCTATATATATATATATATATATATATATATATATATAATGGTGCTGAAAAGTTTTTAGTCTCTCAAAAAAAATTTTTCC